AACTATAGGTGCATGCTACCACACCCGGCTAAGTTTTTTGATTTATTGTAGAGAAGAAGTCTTGCCAGGTTGCCCAGGCTGGTCTCGAACCCCCAGGCTCAGGCAATCCACTCGCCTTGGCCTCCCAAAGTGCTGGGATTACAGGCTGACCCACTGAGCCCCGCCGGCCCTATAAGATCTTAACCTCATCGGTCACAGTTCTTTCCAGCAGGCTCACTCCAACCATCACACACTACCTTTAGGTTCCTTAAACATGCCCCGGTCATGCTCACTTCAAGGCCTCTGTCCTTGCTGCTCCCTTGACCTTCCCTGTCCTATCTGTATGGATGACTTCTTTGTTCATTCAGGTATCTGCAAATGTCACTTTCTCAGAGAGGTTTACTCTTTTTCTCATTCTAAATATTCCCTCCCTGCCAATGTTAGATCTGTCTATTCACTCAGTCAGATCTGGAATTATAATTTTATTGCCTGTCTTCCCAGTAGAATACAAATGCTATTTAAGCAAGGACTTTAACTTGATCAATTACTAGTATTTGTTGAATAATTAAATAAATATTTAAGCTGTAATTTATTTTTATTTTTATTTATTTTTAGTTGGAGTCTCACTCTGTCGCCCAGACTGGAGTGCAGTGGCCGCTCCCGGCCACCGCAGCCTCGACCTGCTGAGCTCCGGCGATCCTTCCGCCTCAGCCTTTCAAGTAGCTGGAATTACAAGCATGTGCTACCATGCCCGGTTGATTTTTTGATTTATTGTAGAGATGAGGTCTCGCCAAGTCGCCCAGGCGGGTCTCGAACCTGCGGGCTCAGGCAATCCACTCACGTCAGCTTCCCAAAGGCACGGGATTACAGGCTGAGCCACCGAGCCCGGCCTAGCTGTAATTTATTTAACTGTAAAGTGTTAAGCACCTCATATTCTTTTGTAAGGTGACAGAATATAAATAAAATGCAAATATAGGCTATGATAATCACTACAGCAGGCTCCTCAGCTCACTTTCTTTCTTGAAAAATGCTCCAACTAAAAACAAACAAACAAAAAAACTGTAATAAAGGGCAAACTACCTGTTCTCCAAGTCTTTTCCCTGTCAAAGTCCATATCTAAGCACAGAAAATCAATTCTCCCAGATACCAGACATTCCCCATTATCCTCACATCTCAGCCCAGAGACCCTCCCTCCTTTTCCCTAAGGATTATTTAAGTTCAGAATGATCAAATACACCTTCAAGTAGAGGAAGATATGAATTAAACAGAAAGTAACAAGGCATAATTTAGCTTTGCTACATAATGACAGCAGAAAATCAGGAAGTTACATGGCAATTCTTTTGCTACAGTCTTGATCTTCAAAGTCTGAACTTTTTAAATGTCCTGTGATAACAGGTATTTGTACTTTCATCCCATACATTCCACATCAAATTTATTCCTGCACAGACCTGTCCTTCCTACCATTCTTATAGTTGTGTGGATTTTCAGCAGTTACCTCATCTCTCTGTCTACAAAATAGGGATAAAAATCATACCTACATGATTTGGTTGTGAGGATTAACCAACATAATATAAATAAAGGGCTTCAAATTGTTGTTACATAGAGCACACTCAATAATATTTAACCATTATTATTATTTACCAGTCTTTCACTAAATCCTATTGATTTGATCCTTGAAAAGGCTCTCATCTCTACAACTGTCACTAGAATATGGCAACAGTTTATAAAGTGTTCTATAAGTCATCTACCATTCACAGAAGTCAATCTGCTTTTGTGATGCTGATGTCAAAGCTTCCAACATCAGGAATTCCTCTGCACCCTTCTGTAATATAAGATGTATCTAAAAGAAACAAATTGTAAAAAACAAACAAAAAAACAACCAGGCCAGGCTCTGTGGCTCAGCTTGTAAACCCAGCACTTTGGGAGGCCGAGGCGAGTGGACTGCTTGAGACCACTGGTTCAAGACAAGCCAAGGTAACTTGGTGAGACCTCGTCTTCACAATAAATTAAAACTTAGCTGGGTGTGGTAGCATGCGCCTGTATTTTTGGCTACTTGGAAGGCTGAGGCGGAAGGATCGCTGAAGCCCAGTAGGTCAATGCGGGGTGGTCATGAGCATGCCACTGCACTCCAGACTGGGTGGTGGAGCGAGATCCCAACTCAAAAAACAAAACAAAACAAAAAAACCAAAAACCATTAACATTTAACTGGTTTCATGGGTTTTAAACAAAGAATAAAAGTTACTGTGTAACAATGCCAGTTACTTTACATACATTGTTCTAAATCCTCAGTTTCTTCCACCTTTTTACAGAGGCTCCAAAGGTTAAGTGCTTTGGCTAAAGCTAGCTAGGTGAGCCCAGATTTGTCTGACTCCCACATTTCTACCTTTCAGGAGAACCTCCTGCTATTTGTCACCATGGACTCTATGTTCTGACTCAGGAATTCTTAACCTGAAATCCATGGAACTTCATTAAATGGTATCTCATGCCTGTAATCCCTGCACTTTGGGAGGTTGAGGAGAGAGGGCTGCTTGAGCCCAGGAGTTCGAGACCAGCCTGGGAAACACAGTGAAATCTCATCTTTTTCTTAATTTTTATTTTTTGAGTCAGAGTCTCATGCTGTCGCCCAGTTGGAGTGCAGTGGCACATTCATGGCCACTGCAGCCTTGTCCAGCTGAGTTCGGGCGATCCTTCTGATTCAGCCTTCCAAGTAGCTGGAGCCACAGTTGTGTGCCACCATGCCGGGCTAATTTTTTTTATTTATTGCAGAGATGAGGGGTTGCCATATTGCCCAGGCTGGTCTCAAACCTGTGAGCTAAGGAAATCTTCTTACCTCTGCCTCCTGAAGTGATGGGATTACAGGCATAAGCCACCGCACCCAGCTTATTTTTTTTTGAGACAAGGTCTTGCTGTGTTGCCTAGGCTGGTCTCGAACCTGAACTCCTGTGCTCAAGTGATCCTCTTCTCTTGCCTTGGCCTCCCTAAGTGTTGGGATTATAGGCATGAGCCACCATACCCAGCTGAAACCTCATCTCTTACAAAAATTTAAAAAAGGCTGGGTGCTGTGGCTCACGCCTATAATCCCAGCACTTTGGAAGGCCAAGGTGAGAGGATTGCCTGAGCCCACGGGTTTGAGACTAGCCTGGGCAACTTGGTGAGACCTCATCTCTACAATAAATAAATAAAAAAAATTAGCTGGGTGTGGTGGTGCATGCCTGCAGTTCTAGCTACTCGGAGGGCTGAGGCACAAGGGTCATCTAAGTCCAGCACCACAGGTTGAGGCTGCAGTGGCTGTGAGGGTGCCAGAGCACTCCAGCCTGGGTGACAGACAGAGACTCCAACTCAAAAAATGAAACAACAACAACAACAACAAAAATAGCTGGGTGTGGTGGAATGCATGTAGTCCCAGCTACTCTGGATGCTGAGGCAGAAGGATTTCCTGCACCTAGGTCAAGGTTGCCATGAACTATGATTGTCATGACAGATACTAGTTAATAGATACTGGCCACTGGACAAGCCTAGTTTACATTATTGTTTTCCACAAGTTATTTAGCTGTAAAACAGTTAAAGACAATGAAAGGCATAGATAACCTCAAAGACAGTTAGACAAGACACCAAGTAATTTTTGTCTTTTCCCATTTCAAAGTCTTTCACAATTTTTCCTGACAAAACTATACACCAAATGTTTTGATAGGTACATGTACATTTTCCTGGGAAGCTCACCCATAACTTTTATTATGTTTTCAAAAGAACCGTTGTTCTAGTCGTAGGTGAACATTCCATGGTCCCTGAGCACTTAGTATCCTGCTTTGCCTTGAATGGTCTTCTCGTCTAAATTGCCTTATAAACCTCTATTCAATTTTCAAGGCCCAGGTTAAAATGGCATCTTACTCTTTGAGGCCCTCCACCTGGTCTCCCCTAATTAACTGCCGTCTCATGTTTTCCCTAAGCACTTTTATTAACGAACTGAGGGCACTGTATTTAGCACTTATACCTTGCTAGCTCCCTTTCTCCATTGAATTTTCAACTCTTGGAGGACGAGGACTAGAGTCCTGCAAAAGAAAATGGCAATTTTATTTGTTTTTGCTTTTTACAGAGTCTCGTTCTGTTGCCCAGGCTGGGGT